AAACTAGAGGCTTTAGTTTAGCTAATTTGAGAGGACTTTTTAATAAAGCAGAAAGAAATGAGAACAAACGAGGTCAAGAATATGGAAAAACTAGATGATAGTAATTACAAAGATTTTATCAAAAAAAGCCTCAAGAATAAAATATTAATGCAACCTATGAAGTAAACGTCAAGACCGGACCAATCTTCCGGTTTTTTGATTTGAGAAAGAGCTTCAACTCTGGAATCATTTGCAACTACTGTCCAAGAAAGATGTTGCCTGCAGTAACAGAACATAGTAAGATAACCAATCAAACGATCAGTGTAAACTTGTACTCCAAATATATATACTACAGTTGTTTTTTGGCGAATTAAAAGAAAGTAATAAAAAAACAATTTATTGACGTAGCAAACCATTTCTTTTGGTCTTTGCCACTACATTCAAGGATAAAATAATCGCCCTCCTTTATAGCACTACCATCTTCAATAGCTACAGGTGACGTAACTCTAGTGTTTTTATCATCCACTCTATAAAAGTAGCTGATTTCGCATCGAATTTTTCCATACTTTCTAAAAATTAACGTGAAGCCATTAAAGGTGTCCACAAAAATAGGCGATGAGATCGGAACAAACAAAATACTTAGAAGACTCGTAAATTTAAAAGCCGCAAACTTAAAAAGTTTGCAAGATTTCTTTTGAAATATTCTTCGTAAAAAAAAGTGGTAAAAATCATATAAAAGAAAGTGAACAAAGAATAAAGGTTGGTTGTAGAATAATGAAGCAAAAAAAAATAAACAAACTCTTCAATTTTTGGAAAGATTCGCAGCTGCCGATTGTCGTCGATGTAAGCCCAGTTTTCTGCATTAGAATCACATTTCAAAGGCTTCGGTTTTTCAAAATATTGAATAACTTCTGAACCATTAATATCTAACTTTGGAAGACGACACGTCTGCAAAATAACAAAGCATTAGTCTTTGATGCAAATATATTGCTACGTGCAGTGAATGTAATAAAGAAACACCATTAAAATAAACAAAAAACAATAAAATAAACAAAGAAAAATAAATTTGAACTGGCACCTGAGCTTCAACAAATCCTAGCTTTCTTTCGCGACTTCTTTCGAAAGATGCAGTACCTGGCAGATCGTTCTCACGGTCACCACCGAGCAAAATGACTTTGGGAGTCTAGAAATTGTCAATTTAAAGAGCAACATGCTTATTCACAGCTATATCTGCTTTGACTTACTTCTGCGGAACATAACGCAATTCAAACAGTGGTCAAAGTAAGAACTCTGTAAGAATAAACGTTATGCTCAAAATTTATCTCTTTTTACCTATATTCTCAAAAAACAGTAAAAAATATTAATTCGAAAAAAAACCAGATTCATGCATTGATCATAAACTCTAATAGCTAATATTTCAGTTAAGTGTTTCCTCCCACAATTCTCAGAGTATTCAATTTTTTTTTGATTTTTTTCTCACTCTTTCAAAGTGTTTGCATTCACCAGTAAGCTTCGGTTGTCAACAGCGTCTTTTTGATCTCTTATCCCTAAGAGTCTGATTCTGAAAACATTTTCCTTCTGCAATTTTCTAAATATAGTTGACTGAGTGTCAGTCATGCACCCATGCTTTCAGTCTTTCAATAGTTTATTCCTGGATATGGTGAATTGCTTTGTACCTCCAGACTTCTAGCTTTCAGACCAACTATGACACGCAACATATCATTAAAAAAAGATATAATCTTCAGACAGTTCAGTAGTATTCTTGCGGTTGAGCAAAAAAATCCACGCAAGAAATAGAACACTTAAAAGACACTATATCAGCAGAACACAGACAAATTTTTAAGGTCAAACAAAAGTAGATTGAAGAGATTAGTGTGGTGAAAATCTCCCTATATTCATCTCCTTGTTGCACGTCCAATGGATCAGAAACAAAAGTACCGTCTTTTTTTTCACACAGTTCTATCACTAACATTTAATTTAACAGTGAAAACCCACGAGGTTTCACTAGTCTGCAGTTCCATTTTGCAGGACAGTGTCGGAAAATTAATTTTTTTCTTTTTTTTACCAAATACTTGCGCCAAGGAGATTTTACCATATCTTTCAATTGATTGCTATATCCATTTATTGAAATACCAGCAATAATTTGTAAAGCTAGAAAATATTGATTAAAGGTTAACAGTTTTGAAGTTTCAAAGAAAATGGCAAAATGTGTTAAGTTCGATGCAGTTTTAAGAAAAGTAAAATTAAATGTAAAAAAATAAGAAATTTAAAGTGCAGTATTTAAATACATCATTTTTAAAAAATTCCTATAAAGCTTTTCTAAAATTAGTGTCAGCTTTCATTTAATGCAAAGATTATGGTCATGACAATAAATAATTCGTATACAACTAACAGCACACACCTTAAAAAATACTCTTTGAACAACTTACCAGACCAAGCGAACATATGACTCATTTAGTATCCTATCGGCAACTCATCCAATTTAAGCTAGTCTAGACTCTAGAGCAACCTCTCTCAACCAAAATGATAAAAAATTTGCTGCTCATATCACTGAAACAACACAGAGACAATGAAAGAAATCAATAATTTTTCAAACCGTATAGAAAATAAAATGAAAAGCACCAGTTTTGAGACTCAGGAGGAGAAACTCAGAGCAGGAACTTGCTTTGATAATGTAGCAAAAAATTCAAAAATTTATTAAATTTTTGAAGAACGCTCAGCAACGCACTTTCTAAGTTCCAACATATTTAAAAATGAATAGAAAGATTAAAAGAAGCAATTGGGTATTATGTAATGACAAATTATCTTGTCAAATAAACTTAAACATTCCGAGAAAATACTGAAAAAGACAGCTTTCAATAACTGACAGCATTAAGGAATTTTAGCTGAAAAATTTATTAACAATTTTTAGAGCTGCTCCATATTTAGAGAGTAGGGCTGACGATATACACAGTACCGAATTAATCCAACATAACACAAACTAATAATTGAAAGTGAGTAAATTACATACAATTTACTATGAATTAAACATTTTAGAGGTTTTCAATAATTCCTAAAAAATACCACAGCCATTGCCAAATCTTTTAGTAAGACCACTAATACTATTAAACTCTGTCCCGGTAATTTAACCGTTCTCATATTTCTTGTCCATTTTTTGACTTACTAAAAATGCAGAGAATTTTAAGACCTTATATAATCGATAAAATCGGTTACATCAATCAAATGCTCATACTTATTTCAGAAAATATATCAGTGCATAGTCAGAAAGCATGTCAGTTCTAAAGATTACTGCACTATAATGTACTCAAAACTATATTATTCTTGAGATGTGAAACCGCATAAAATTTTGCTTGTTCCATATAACAGTTGTAGTACACAACTGTTGATCAGAAAAAGTGTTCTTTCTACTTAAGATAGATAACAACGCTCGCTGTACTCAGTGAATCTGTCAAGTGATTTTAGCCCTGTCATGCCAATTCCTCATTTTTTTTTATTTCCTTTCAAAAAACGTTTGTATTTGAACAATCGCCATTGACTACTGTTGTAGTTTCAATCTGCTGTCAGATGTTACACAGATAACTCTAAGTCGGCATAAACAAACGTATATTTGAAAGACTACCTAAGCTTAGTAGCTACAGTACATTTGTCTACATAATTAATGTAGAATTAGATGTCAAGGTACCTAAGAGAATAAAAATTGATAATGAACAACGAAAAGAAAAATAAAAAACAACAAAAAATTCAATGTTTGCGTACCAAATCTAAGAGTACAACTGTTTTCTTTTTGTACTTTATAAGTATACAGTACCATTATGTGATTAAAGTCGAAAAAGTGCTATATATATATGTTAATTTTTGTCTGTTCACTGACGTTTCTAAATAATAAATAAGAAGAAAAGCAATTAGGCGAGGATATGAATATAAATAAAGCTAGAAAGCTAGAAAGAATAATATATTAAGTTTTATTAGAGAGTGAGAAGCGAAGAATGAGAGCAAAGAAGATAAAATCAAGTCGTGACTATTTTTGTTAGCATATCCTACTGGCACTAAGATTTGGTAGTAACAACAGCGACAAATTCATTGAATTTTTTACAGCAGCTATAAAAAGCCAATGAAATGAATGTAAATGAAGGATAATTGAAAAAGAAAGAAAAACTTACATGATATACATCAATTACAGGTCTATGTATCGTTATAACTGTAACTGCGTTTTGATAGACGAGTACAACGAAAATGGCCAACGAACAGAGCACCGAAGCTAATAGTAAGTAAGGTAGTCGATTTCGACATCTCCGAGACAGGAATGGTGAAAGTTTTAACGCTACCATCGAAGTCGTCCTATACTGCCACTACCACCGCCACCATCAACACGGACACGAACAATGCTAGAAACACTGACTATAGCAAGGACAAGAGGAAGAAGAACAGCAACGAGAACAGTTGTGACGAGGTCAGTGATAGTAGTAGTGGCAACGACGACAATCAAGTGATAGCTAGCCAATATGAATACGTTTTTCGCTGTAAACCTTATTTGAAATACTATTGTTTTGTATCTGAAATAAGCAAAAGAAAGAGACATCGCATTATATTTAAGTGGTCGCTAGATAAAACTTGAACAGATTGTAAAGAAACTAGAAAAAAAAATAAACATTAAGAAAACTGTTGTAACAAAAGTGTAAAAATATTAACTTTAAGTTGTTTGCTGCGATCATGCACAAAACGAAAAAACAGCACTACGTATTGTGATAAAACTGGCTGTTCGCTTCCTGAGCGAAAGCTCTTGGGAGGAACGGCGAAAAAGACCACACCGTTGACGGTCAAGTCTGGGTACATAAGTGGGACATTAGAGCTTATCAAAGTTAGTATCAGTCAGACCACTTAAAGTCGATTAATAGTATTGATATCGCTCTATTTAATTACAACCGCTCTTCGATTCTGGTATTTTATTAGACTTTCAATTTCTTATTCTTCTTATTACACGTGAACGCTTAGCATTTTGGAATTTTAAGCATTAAATGACTGGATTATTTGGCTATTTGATCATGTTCAACTTGTGCTCAAAACTCTGTTTCTAAAAGTTTACTATTGTTTCTTTTCTTATAGCAGCATTCGGTATCCATCTTAAAGAGCGATAGTTTGCCCATCAATACTCAACAACAACTGCATTTGTAGAGAAGGCTACTTGTGTCAATATTTCCTACTTTATTATGTAGGGACTTTTGGCAAGCAAACGTGTTGTTATATCAGTTCATTGCAAGCCCTATAAATCGTCACCTGAAACCAATATTTCTGCTTATCAGACTCATCAAGTTTCTGTAAAAAAATGGCTATTTGACGCTAATTTGGCGCTTTAGAGGTTTAGTATTCCGGATAAAGTCCAAGACCTGTATTAGAGTGATAGTCAGTGGTTGATGCTGTACGTAATGAGAGCCAATTGCGTTTACAGTCACAGTTGCAGTAATTTGAAGATTCTCAAAGAGGTAAAGCAAACAGGATACGATAACTCAATTCCCAATTTTAGCAAAATTGTCTTTCAACCAAGACATTGATAACTATCAAGTACTAAAAAGCAAAAATCAGTGAAGAAAAAAACATTAGAATAGATAAGCAACGCATAAAATATGTACCAAAAACACTGTCATCAGCAATTGCGGTAGGTATAGAAGAGATAGCGGCAATAATAAAAGTAAAAATGAACGAAAAAAAAAGTAGCTTGTTGTAGCAAAAATTTAGGTGCTTTTTTCAGATTTTTTAATAGATTTGTCGATAACTGCTTATTTGCTTCTAAGGAAATAAAAGGGAAAACTGGTAAAAATAAAATGGTCAAAACTTTGTTCTTTTTTTTAATAAAAACTTTCGATTAAAAAAAAAAAGAATGTAAAAAAAACAGAAATTCAGTATCAAATAATTTTTGTTTTATTCTATTTCTAAAACACCCATACTAAACTTCGTTTTTCTGTTATCCTGTCAGCAGGCCAACAGAAATCAAAAGTTTACTAAAAGTTAACACATCAGATTAGGTGGTAAAAGTAAGAAAAGAAGCCAGCATAATTTAAACTATTTTTTAAAACCAATTCCTTTGCAGGTTACTTTTTATTGTAAAAATATATTTTATAGTTTTTATATATCACTGAATTACCGTCTTTGTAATTAAAAACGTCATATTTTTATACTCAAATGGTTTGATCAGTTAAGAAAATAACGTATGACTAACCATTAAACAAAAGATCAGAAAAATGGCAACAAATTGAATACTTTGAAGTCGGGTAGTAAAATTTAGCAAGCTTATTTCAGTCATGTGGATAACTGACAACAAATTTAAGTAAATGAGCAAATAATTAGTCTATAAAAGTAGCTGCCGTTTACCATCATTAGTAAGAATCAGTTCGTAGACGTTCCCGTGGAACGTTGGACCGTATTTGGAACACTGAGCTGCTGCCACTGCTGCCGCTGTTGTTGACTAGCGTTTTTGTTTGAACAATGCTCATCAAAAACAATTTGGGTAAAGCAGTCAAAAACAAAAGACGACTAAACTGTGTTGCTGAAAACCGGTAAAAA